GAGTTTCTGCTAAATTTCGCATTATCTGTTTGTTCCACCATGAATTTATTACCTTTGGAATGAAATCTGTTTAGTGGAAAATTGATGGTTAGATCGTGTAATCGTTACGAAAAAGATTTGTGATTGTATTTGGACATTGGAAGTCTACGTCTCATATTAGAATCCTATCTCTTCATAAAGGATTTTTCTCTATATGTTCTCTATATTCTACTAAATAATAATAGGTGGTATGTGTTTGCTATTGCATATTTTTGAAAATACATTTATTTTAATTAACGTATTTTGGAATTTAATATTTACTGTATCGACTACTTCCAAAATAACTAACATTTCTCCCAATTCTTTTTACAAGATTTTAAACACCCATAAATTTAATATTTCTGTTATATTGGTTTTGGCATGTTGACTCAACGTACCTACGTGCGCGATAATCCAAAAAAAATGTGTATAAATAACAGTACAAAAAGCGTCAGTTATATAGAAATAATTGTGCCGGCACACAATAGTGTTGCAGAGAAAAATAAATTTTTAGGAATAAAAGTCTGCAGCGGACTATTTAATGCTCTCGATACAGCACTCGAATCGTTTTCCATAAATACGCCTTGTATTTTTTCGCGTACATTTTCGTACGGTGACCTATCTTGTTGCTACGTTGCGTATATGTCGCAGATTGTCTGAACTGTAACATTACGTTACCATTTTCGAACACGACTGTTCGAATGTGAATCACTGCGACAAACACGTATACACACATTACTTTTCAATTTTATTTCTCGCGGTAAACAAGATATGGAAAACTTTTTAAATCTTCTAGTTATTTCGGAAGCTACAAATATTTGAGCACGAAAATGAAACTAATGATGTATTTGGAAAACGGAAAAAGCATAAGAGACGTTTTTGAATCCTAGCGGTTTGTAGGGCATACTCGAGTCTATTAAGTGCTATCTCTTAATTACGTCCGCTTGCGCCGTAGTAATTTCTTCTTCTAATAATAATGAAGCCTGCAATGCATGGACATGTGCGCGATAATCTATGGATGGAGTTTCAGCGTCAGTCCCCTTTTGTTTCGTCTCTTTCCGCAAGGGATGACTGATCCGTATAGTCATTTGGGCTTAGCCGAACCCACAAACCCGAGCTCAATAATGCACCGCGAACATTCACAAGCATTTACACCTTATGTCTTTGCATACCGTTTACGCGAGTGCTATTATAATAAATATTTAAGAAAAAGTAGAGATGTGCAATATCATTTTGAGGGAATAAAGTAAACTTATAAAAACAACTTATAAAATAAAATATAACTGTACGAGGGTAAAAGTAATGAAAAAATGCAAGACTTATGACACAGCGATGTAGATGAAGCAGAACAGTGCAAATTAAAGCTCATTCTTAAAATTTTTTAATTAAAAGAAAGATGAAGAGAGAAAAAGTTTTAGCTTGGATAGATTTGATTTCAAACTGTGAAGCGGCTTTACTTTCAAACATTAAAGGTGTTGCAAATGTCAAAACAGTTTCCAATATAAACCGAAATTGTAAGAAGGAGAAATATTATAAGATTCTCCTCCGGTTTGATCTGCTGTTTGATCATCGATCAAGAGTGACAGTCGCGTGACGAGAAATTAAAAAAAGATATCAAAGTTTAAAGCGTATTATGCGAGCGCCGTGTCAAAACTGAGATCAAGAGTATCATAGTTATTGAAAATGCTGCCGTTTAAGCGTCATGTGTATGTACCGCGTGCGCGCGCGCGTGTATGTCGCATGTGTGTGTGTATGCGCGCGCGCGTGTATATGTCGGAGATGGGGACCTATTGAGTTAACTATCCTCGTCCCCGGGATCAGGGAGCAGCACGTTAGGAAGTTATAAGTCTTTAAACTTTAATTTTAACTTGAACTCGACGGCGCTAAAGTTGGTTTAGTTTTACCTTACTTATACTTCTGCGGTCAGGACCTGGAGCCTTAAGAAGCTTCAAGATTCCACGATAAACCCCGAACGCTTTACATTATGGAGCAGTAAACTAGAAAGACTTTCGATGTAGACGTGCATTTCGCTTTTTTCCCTCCCCTCCCCCTCCCCAAAAATAGTTGCAAAATGTTCGCGACATAATAATATCTGATACGTGAAAATTTGACGTGCATTCATTGTGATGCAGTCCGATTTTATGACAAACAGTTTTAATACCGCGTTTGAGACGAAAATGAAAACAGGCATTTATTTTCACGCTGCAGCTTTGCTGTTTCGAACACGTCCTGCGACTCGCATATAATTAATTTTTTTATTAAATTTGTTATAACATAATAGTATTGTTTGATTTATTACGTTTACGTTACTAATTTTAAATTAATTGGTACGTTATGTCCGTGAAACAAAGAATATCGAGTAAAACGTACGCATATTATTTTAAATGCACGTTAAAATCGGCGTATATTTTCTAATTAAGTGAAAGAATGATTACTTCTCACATTTCGACGCATTTTATGTCATTAAAGAAAAGAAAAGTCTTGCACGTTATCACAATTATTACAATGTACGAAGACATTGCAAATTGGATTACATTCATTTCCATAAAATGTCATTGGAAAATTGATCCTTTCGACTTTTCATAGAATAAAAATACACTTGCCCACAATTCTTCTTCAGCTATCAATGTCTGCGTGATTATTTTTAGATATACCGCACGCTCACGAGACGTTATTTCGCACGTAAATAGATTTATTCTTACGCGAAGTAAGCATACTTCAGAATTCATATACGGCATTTGAATATCTCGAATGTAAATTCTAGTGGCGGTGGGGCGTAACGCACGAGAAGAAACGCTATCGTATTTTACTGCGGACGAAAAAATAAAACGGGCTTTCACGACAAGCGCGTGCCGTCTCGTGAAAGAAACGGACGCCGCTGTCTTCCGCTTTGGGCGCCGTGCGGAAAAGACGGGACGCAAAGCGGACACGCTCGTTTCATCCGCGTCCACGTACGCGAGCCGGGGAGAGGGGGGGGGGGCGTTTGTTCCCAGCCGCGCGCCACGGGGCTGCCGGTGCGATCGCGGGTCCTCCGCTTGTTTCGCGCGGATTTGAAAATCCGCCCACCGCGGTACGCGGAAGTTCCGGTGGCGCGTGTCGCGTTCCTCCCGTTTGTTCGGTCGCGTTTTTTCCCCCCCTCGCAAAATCGGCTTTCCCAGTCATTCGCGCATCAGTCAACGTCGGCCGCCGTTTTTGCAAATCGCGCGCGGCGTCGCCCGATATCGGATAGGTAATTTCCGAAATCTCAGCCGGCCGTCGGATGATCTATTGCCGGCGCATCGGACCATTCGATACAGCTCGCGCATTAGACCGGTTCTATGCATTCGACATCACTGAGATCAATAGACACTTCTGACACGTTACATCGCGATATGTAACAAACGGAGGCGGATCAGGAGTGTACGTTACCATCCACGGTCAACACTGTATTGCGCGCATTATATCCTATGTACGCATAATTGACATACCACGTCGAGAGCGAGCCATTAACGTCGATACGAATGCCACGATCGGAGCTGCTCGCTTCATAAATGCCCAATAATGAGCGCACGGCCGAATATTTTGCCGGGTGTATCTAGGGCGGCACGAGTGTTGTTCTCGAAGACGCTTTGCCCGATTCAAAATTACAATTGTTGACATTAATAATAAGCGAACGAGACCGTTGCGTATAAATCACGCGGATACAGTAGGGTCCACTGTCCAAGTCAATGTGGACCTCGGAAAAATTCGGATAAACTGGAAAGGGAAAGTATATCAAACGTACACACATTACTTATGGTAGAAACAGTGTATTTGTTGTCGACAACAAAGTGTGCAACTATATACTTCCAGCTCTGAATAAAAAATACCGTAAATCCATTTTTATGACCCATTTTGCGTAAAGATATTATTAAAATGTTTATACTGTTGATATGATAATTAAAAAGACAGCTCAAATATTTTGTTTTTGGCAGTGAAATAAATTAAAAAATCTCCTCGGATAAACTGGAACTTCCAGCTCTGATTAAAAAAAAAACGGTACATCCATTTTCGTGACTCTTTTAGAAATATTATTGAAGCTTAATTTATATTGTTGTTGTGATAAAACAAATTTTATGGGATTAAAAATTTTGTTCTCGACAGTGCAAAAAGTTTTAACTGAAAATCGCCTTGGATAAACCAGAATTTGGATGACCGCGACTCAGATATTTGGGACTCTACTGTAATACAATCGAAATGCTGGGTCTCGATGCCTAAGAACTTCTTTGTGTGTTTCGCTGTGTTGAAAAGATGCTCTCTAAATGTCAATCGATTATCACTGAAAACCGCGAAGTAGTCACTGATTTTCAGTTATAAGTATATCACTGAAAATCAGTGGTGTAACTGTAAATCAGTAACTATTTGCCTGTTCAATGATAATTCACTGACTGATTTTTAGAGAGTGTAGGCACGCAAGAAGTTGCACGAGCGTACCAAGCGTTTCTATTATTTGTGTTATTAATTCGAACACTTTCATGGAAACTTTGATTATCCTTTGGGACAATTAGTGCAGAAGGAGCGCGTAGAGAATTTAACTCTCTCCTTCTTTCGACTTATTTCATTATCATACATTTGAGTGCATCAATTACGTTCAGAGCCTAGGATGTAAAAGACGAGCGAGGATTAATGCCGTGAAATGCGCGCCAGAGTTATGCCTGAGCTAATCTACAGTTTAAGAAAAGCACGATTTATCCGCCGGGAAGATAGCAGCCGTGGCGCCGCCGGCCGGCTCCTCAGAGGGAGATCCCCTTATTTTCTGCGCGCGACTCGCAGCTTAGACTCCGGGCGACTTAGCTCTCCCTCCGCCACTGTGCTCGCCACCCTCCACCGCCCTCGGGGGCCGAACGTCGCGACGCGGAGGAGGGTGATTTTGGTTTGCCCCTCGCTCGCAGCGACGCTAGCGCCGCGTCGGAGGCTCCAGTCCGACCTCAGCATCACTCGTGGTGGTTTCGCGCGCGCATCCGCCGCCGGGGTGAAGACCGCTTTTCCGAGGGGGAAAAAAAAATCGAGATTCCGTCCCGGCACCGGCCCCCGACTCCATCCCCGTCGCGCTCGTCCGCGCGATCCGAGATCCCGTAGATCGGCGAGCCGTCGATCCCGGTCGCCGGAGAGAATCGCGAGGAGTGCAATTTCCACGGGAGGGACGCGGGATGAAAAAAACGCGCGAGAATGAACGCGAGTGAGTGACCGTAAAGCCGCGGGATCCATCGATCGCCGGGGGATTGCAACGAGTGTGAGCCGCGTGTGCGATCAGGAGGGATTTTCCTCCGCTCCGGATCTCGCTCCTCCCCGACTCCTCGACCCGTTTGTTTACCGTTTATCGGGCAATCCGTTCTCTTTCCGCGCGCGCCTCGCGAGTTTCGTCGGCCCCGAGTGGCCCTCGGGAGCGGTGGGATGCGTCCGCGGGAATGCCGCGGGAATTTTCGGCGAGATCGCCGGGCGATCGGGGAATCCCGGTCGACGTAGGGGCAAACGCTCGAATTCCCGGAGACTGAGAGTGCGTCGCGGGTGCGAGGAGGGAGGAAACGGCTCGCGCGGGGAATTTTTGAAAGGTCCGCCTCGCGGAATAACTGCCTTGGAACGCGGAGGTGCTCCGGGTGCCCGGGAGTGATTCGAAATAAAATTCGGTCCCGGGATTCCCCTCCGCGGCAGACGGCGACGGTTCAGAAGTGAGTGCCGCGAAAACACATTGAGTGAAACCCCCGGATTAAAATGCTCTCGCCCGCCCGAATTTCGCCCGCGCGAAATTGTTGCGCAAGTGGAACATTGCGGCGTATCTCTGGCATTTGAAAAGAGGACCGAGCGCGAAAATCCGCCGGGGAAAATATATATATCGGCCGGGGTGATCGAGCGGAAGGTTCCCCGCGCTTTTTTCCCCCGAACGTGATAAACTCTATGCGATTTCCGGGGGAGCGGATAACGCTTCGCCTGTGAGATCCGAAAGTGCTCCAATTCGAATCGGGGCGAGAGCCCCGCGCTCGATGTAACGGCGGAGAGATCTTTCTGCGGCGGTGCGTAAATGTGTCGGCGAGGATCCGCGTTAAAGCTCTCGGCCTGTCAGGCTCGCGCCGGTGCCCGATAAGCCCCCCGCGGCCTCGAATCCTCCGGTTTTAAGTGGCGAACGCGGCCGAGAGCGGCGCGAACTTCCGGGCTCTCGCGCGTAAAAATGCTTTTATTTATGGTGACACGTTGATGGAACTGTGCATTCGGACGTTGAATTTTTGCTGGGAAAAGCGACGAGAGTTACGAATACATTATAGCGGATATTCGCTCGCGTTGCGAGGTAAAAAACGATAAAATCAGTTGAGAGAGCCGCAGCGGCGAAATTCTCGTCGAACGCACATTTTTTAATTAGAGACACTTACAATTTGAGAATCACAGGCGCCCGAGGAGAGCGCGCACAAATTTCCGCAAGAGACAAAGAACGAGCGAGAGACTCTAAACTGTATCGATAAAAGGGCCGAGTTCCGTTGATAAAAACGTGAAAGCGCAAGGGATGCCGCGCTCCTCGGTCCACCGCGTTATTCCGCGCGCGAATTCTCGAGGATCTTCCGTGCGGGCGTAGTTCGCCGCGAGCGCGAGGTCACGTCGAGGAAGAGACGTCGCGGCCGAGATGCCGGCGGCCCGCGAGAGGAAGACGATTTTCAGCGGGCGACGCCGCCGCGATCGCGAGTGACGATGCAAAATTCGTGAGGGACAAAATCCCGCGTCGTACGGAGCCGCGAGTAACGTCCCGGGGGAGTGTTTGAAAAGTGTTACGTCGCGGAGTAGCGGGGAAAATAACAGTGTCGCACGCTCGAACGTACGGCGACCTGTAAAAATACAGCCGCAATAACAGTAACGTCCCGGTGCTCCCTTACGTGACCGGACGAGGCGTGTTCTGGAAAACGATTACGCCGAGTGCCGGGGCGAAAAGTGTTCGCGGGACTCAGGCACCGGATGACCGTTTGACGTACCCTCCGCCGTGCAATTGCAGTTTTCGGACGGTTAAAGGTGTCGCGAGACGCGGAGATAACAGTAACGCGAAGATAACGGTGACATTAGAGCGCCCTCCTCGCCGAAATGTCTTTGGCGAGCGCGAGTTCGCGGTGCGGAGTGCAATCGTGATTACTCACCCCCTTCCCCGTGCAACTTTTTATCGCGCGTTTTATCAACGTAATTAGTCGCTCTTTGGGCGCGTATCGGACGTGCATCGGGACGAAATTGCGGCATGCGTCGTACGTAAATTGTTATACGAGCACGGAACGTATATGAGGAGCGTCACGGAGTTACGCAATTAGACGAAGGGTATCGCGAATGTGGCGAAAATAAAAGAGGGGATTACATTGTGCAATTAGTGCTGAAATACGGGGCAAAAGGAAAAGTCGCGGCGAGAGATCGTCCGAAATACGGAGTCGCGCGGCGCGTATCCCGAAACGAAATTATGCACGGAGAATGAGAAAGAGGAGGAGGAGGAATATAATCGCGAAAATAAAATTTGCTTTTTCCCCCCGCGATCGATAGTAGTCAAGATAAACTCGTAATATACGATACGCGCGACCGGCTGTAACAATATTGACGCTGGCAACGAGTGTAACTCTTTGTCTCTCTCTCTCTCTTCTCGTCATCGTCGATTACACGCTTTTCGGCGTACGCGGAAAGCTGCAGCCGCGGGCGGGAAAGTGTTGACGCGCGCGGTGCGTTTTATTAATTTCCCATCGCAAAGTTCCCCGCGAGGTACGGTCGAAATTGGAGCAACGCGACAGCTGCGTGTCGTGAGGGAGGATCGCGCGCGACGTCGCGGAGGAAAGTAAAATATGCATGCGGGCAAAAGTGTCCGTCGCATGCCCGACGAGAGCGCGGCGGAATTTCTTTAATAAATCGCTATCGTCCTCGCGCGCGAGTCGCCATGCGTTCCCGGGCGGGGAACCGTTAAACGCTCTCAAGTGTCGAGGATTGTCGCGACTCGAGATCGCGACTGCCGCCTCGTCGGGAATCGATCGCGCCCGTAAGAGATCGAAGAGTTGTCGGGCGGAAGCTGTGCCGGAAGTGGTTGGATACTACGCAGCGAGTGCTCCGAGGGCTTGTATCCCCTTTCGGTTGCGTTCACGTCGCACCCGACTCGATTTCGCGCTATTGTCTCTCGATCGTTCGACTCGATGTGTTTCTCGTGAAAAGCGATTTCCCCGATCGTGTGCACTTGAGGGAGAAGAGGAGCGCGACTTGTCCGAAGGTAAACTTTCAATTGCCTTATTAATTTAATAATGACCAACTTTAGGGAAACATATTCCAAACTAGTGATATAGTTAAGGTTCGAGTTTTACTTCTTTAAAGGGATAGGTTACAAATTAGTGAAATGTGTATAGCTTGTGAACATTCGACAGCTTTCAAAAAGGATTACAGCACAATGTTACGTTGATTGGACTGCGTGACAAAAATTATATCTATACAATTTTTGTACAATTATTGTGTGTGTATATTTAATTTATATGCAATATCTTAGAACAGATAACTCGGAAGAATTAAAAATAAGGTGACGCTAAAGAATCAATATGAAATTATGTACGTAAGCATCAACGGGTACGTACGCTGATTAAGCTTCGAATTGCTATGCTCTTCAAGCTGATGCTCGACTCTTTCTAATTACGATTTCACGACTCCTGCGTAAGATATTGCATAGATTATTGTATTAATAAAATTACAAAGTGAACACCATAGTCAATATTTTAAGAATTACAGGAAACGTTACCTGTAGAAGTGGCACTTAGAAATCTTACGTTAAACGTTTCAGTCTCCGTTCGTATGAACACTGTAGAGCTTGTTTAGAAATCTTTTATCTTTCCTCCTCACGCTCTTTTTCATTTCACCTCTTAATACAATATTGTATGAGACGGGAATAATTTGGATTATTATTTATTCTGCACAAAAAAAATTTTTTCTTAAAATTTCTACCCTGAAAATCACGCGATCGTGGGACAACACGGCATTTTGAAGAATTTTATATGAGTTTTTCGAAATTTTGCAATGCATTCTACTAGTAATTATGCATAATTATACAAACGTATACATTTTACTGGTAGAACGTATGATAAAATTTCAAAAGCCTCTCGTACAGTTCTTCAAAATGCCATGTTGTCCCACGATTACATGACTTTCAGAGGTGTGCACTTTTTACTTAAATTTTAAATAATATTCAAGTATAGTGGAGACACTTATACGCATACTTAGGCAGAAATAAAATGGTATATATTTAGATAATTATATTTGGAACAAAGCGAGCTTATTTATGAAGATTATGGTAAAGTTGTTGGTTATAATGCAACATTATCCCAGTCTCAGATAATTTATTGGACGTGCACTGTTCAAGCGCGATAATTAAAGGGCTGTCACAGTTTTCTAGGCGAGCAGTTAGTTCTCATTTATAAATGAGATTATAATGAATCGCGGGCGCAAACTCAATTTCTTCGAAGTCCCTAATGGATTTGTCACAAAAGAATGTTAGCTTCGGGAATGGGAAGAGTTTGGGGCTCTCTTAATCTGTCTTTACTGCTTTCTCATTACCTGGGACTCCCGGAGTGAAGGCTCATTGAAATAAACGTGAGGGTTAAATTAAACGGGCGAAAATCCGAAATTGCCTATTTACGTCGCGCATTTTTCAAACCCGTTTTTACTCGAGACGGTTGTCCGACTGCTGCTGGTCAGACAGAAATGCATGAGATTACTGTACATACAAACAGAAACATTCTATTTATTACGTGGTATTTTTAATGAGAAAAAATTCATTATAATATCTAAGCTTTAATACCATTCGTTATTATTCACATAATATGAAAATTTATCAAATAAATATATTTATTATTATTAAAACGTGTTATAACTTTTTATCAGTTATTCATATAAATTTCTCATAATTAAATAATTACTCTGGAAATCATTAAATGTGAGGTTTAATTAAAAATGATGTTTCCAATTTTACGAATTGCGTTTTATATTTAATTATTTTTGACATTAATTCATTCACAACGCGCTTGCATTTGGCGATATATATTATAGATTATGATTTTATTGGGCTGCGTTGCGTATGGTTTAATAAGTAAACGTATAATAAAGTGCTGAAATTAAGTTTCAAAAGTTAGAAGATTAAACTTTCGCGAAATATGCGGAAATTTTATAAACCAGCCGCGGACTCAAATTACATCTAAAAGTTTATAAACCTGCAGTTAGTGGCTAAATTCCTCGTTATCATAACTAACTGCGATATTTATAAAAGAGATTTGGTAATTCGGCGTAACGCATCGCACTTGCTATAATTTATATGTCTCGGAATTAAGAATTCACGACAATTGCGAAATGGAAACGTGCTAAGTACATTTTCGAGACACTTTCCATCGCGTATGGGAATATCAACGCAATATTTTAGTGCAGTTTTCGCGGTTTGGCGAAATTGCAAATGTGTGAAACGTCCAATTTTTCGCGGTTGGTGTGTGTATGCACCGCGGGCAATCGTAGCCACAGAAAGAAAAACATTGGTCCGCCTTTCATAATACAATAATACCGCGAGATAATTTCTCTTGCGTTAAATTATAATAATTTTAATGCATCACCGCCGGGACATCGCACTATGGCACAGATCTATCTTTGAATAAGCGTAAATTCAGCCGTGAAATTTGTTACAAACGATGTGACAATACAACATTGATAATTATTCCGTTTGCGTCGGTCTTTATTTACTGCTCGATTTATTTATTAACCTTATCATAGTATTTTTTGGATGCGTAAATAAATTTTAATTTGTAAATATTTTTATTGCAAATATTATTATTGCCTTTATCGCAAAAATATATTCGGTGAAAAAATAATCTTCGGTGCAACAAATATAACAAAGGTATATAAATTGTTAAAATTTCCTCTGTCATTTTAACCTGTGCAAACTGAAGACATCGAAGGTTTGATTTTACGAGGTAGCGGAAAGGATCTGAACGAACGGAAGACGAAAGCGGAGGAAGAAAACGGAGGACAGGGATTCGAATAATGGGTGAATCTTGCGCAAAACTGAAATGATTGATGGAAGTGCGCTGGTGGAGACCGGGAAATGCCTGGGAAACAAAAGGAGGAGGGGGGGGCGGCATATTTGAGCCTGTGTGGGGACTAGGTCGATACCTATGATGCCTCGAATGCAGTTAATTCGAATGCTTTCAATAATAGTTACACTGCGAAGACTCATCAACCGTCTGGCTCGGTTAATGAGTTTTCCGACCCTTTTCCGAGAGCTGACATTTGCCATAGTTCGATTTTGAAAAAGCAATCTCTATTCGCGACTCTTTCATTATTCTGTGAATTCGGGATTGAACTTGCAAGCCGTATTTAATGGATGATCGACATTTTGACTTGATTTTAACATTTTCATTTATTTTTACCATCTCGAGATTAGTCACAAATCTCTTGTGTATTTGGGCAAGGTGAATAAAACTTACTTGAACTTGTCATTTTGGTAATTATTACATCAAATTTAGACTTTTGTTTTCTAAATTCTTGAAAAGCAGAAATTGTTAATCACAGTCTTGTATGACATAAATATAATAACAAAGAGATAAGTTGAAGATAAAACACCATGCTATTAAAAGTGGTTTGCAATTTAGTTTAACAATTTCTTGATAACAAATCTATAGAAATAATTCTTTTAACATTTTTATGCATTCATACATTGATTTATATGAGAAAAAATCTACGCGTGTGTATGTTTAAGATAATTTTATATCTTAGAATTCTGCTTAATGGTGGAATTATCATTATTCAAATTTAACTGTGAAATTTACACAAGGATATGACCTAATGGTCTTCCACATTCATTAAATATCCAAGTTGTCACAGAAATATGCATGAACCTAAGGAGGTTATCGCGCAATGCAATTTTTCTTCATTAATTTTGTCCGGTTTACGTATGCACGAGAAAACTAGTGTAATGCGCGAACCAACGCCGGCTTATTAGATAAATATTAAAATGTGCTTCACATTTGTTACACAAATTTGATTGATATATCTCAATTGAAGAATATTCCGCCTCGGAGACATGAGCGAAAATAATTTTATTATCAAAGGAATAATTCTGCAATGCGCCTGAAGAATACGTCAATATAATATTTCTTAATGTACGTAGATCGATTCATTACAAAAGTCTTTTGTAAAAGATAATAATCGCGTAAAGAAAAACTATGAAAGAGAAGATGCATCGAGGTTTTTACAAACTAGAGGACTGAAATATACGATGTATTCCGAGAATAATGAAAGCTAATGAGATGCACGGAGCATTCCGTTTTTTCATCATGCATTTCAATAGTCTTTCACGTTTCATTAATATTAATGAAAACTCCAGTTTCTATTGCATGTAATAGTAGAAGAATTATTTTTCAAATACTGTTTTTTTTTTGCGCTAAGCGAGGGTCGATCGCGAAGACGTATCGGGGGAGATATCTAATGCAAAAATAACGAGAAATCCGAGTACGTTCGCCGAAGCACTTATCAAACGATATCGATTTCCCTTCGTGCCATGTACACCATCGTACTCTTATACATTTATGTGGCGATCCAAGGTCCTTACGGCGTAAGTCCGGTTTGTGCGAGATTTTCGGAAAAGTCGCCCCTCGAAACTTTTGCGTATTCTTGAAACCGAGTCTTAAAACTTTTCCGAAAGCGTACTCCGGCGCCGCGGCATATTTCCTCGTTCGATTTGAGCCAGAAGGATTTTGCGCGTCCTCGCGCCTCCAATTTTACGATCGGTGTTTCCATATCGCAATCGCGCCGGATAAACTTATCCGCTCTCTCAATGTTTTCCCTCGCCCCTTCTCTCTATCTTTTTGACGATGATTTAGTGGATCAATAATATCGGTGTCGCAATAATTTTCTTCCCGTGACAAATACGTACTAAAACGTACCCGCGGCAGTTTGTATCAATAACCATATTTCATTACACGTATCACGGCGCTGCCGGTCTTGGTGCGATCTCGATTACATATTGGCGCAGCAACGCCACCTAATCACGCTTGCATCTCGCTCGCAAACTGACACGAGTGTATACCAATCTTGCGAAAGAAACGGGATTGCGCGCAAACGAGGCGTATATGGAGAAAAATAGCACTTTATAAGCAAGGAGGTTCTGATGAATTTTTAACATCACGTAGGATGGACTGGCACAAGAGGGAAAGAGACAAGAATGCGAAGATGTATAGAGCCGGC